TCTAACCCTTTTGGAATTATCTCCATCTCCCTCTCCTACTATTTTTTTGCCCCTTCTAGTCCTATCCCTATTATTTTTCGCCCCGTTTGGAATCGTCTCCATCTCCATCTCCCTCACCTCCTCGACTCCTTGTTTTCTCTGTGGGCTCTCTTTTTTTCAATTCTGTTCTATGGTGGTTTTCGCTCGTCGATGGTGAACCAAGATGGGTGACAAGGGTATCAATCTTGAACAGACCAAGAACGAGAGACTATTGATCTGATATTCTTCCATTTTTCCAAAGAAAAATTTTTATATTCCCTGTTGTTTGTCTCTAATTAGCTGTTGTTGTGTAATGAAAATAAGATCTTTATAGATCCCGAAAGCTGTTTGTTTGGATTGCTGTTGTGTTTTTCTTTTCATTTTTTATTTTTTTGCTCATTTTCTCATTGATGACTGTAGCATAGATCAATCAGATGCATGATTTTCTCCATTTTTCCTATGAGAAAAATTTTAATTCTGTTTTTTCCATGGGAATATGATTTTACTCTAGTCCAATCAAAGGGTGTTTAAATTTATTTTTCATTATTTTTGAATTTGATAAAAAAATCTGATAAAAAAAATGAAAACCAATTATTGACCTCCAAGTGGAAATGAATCTGGTTCTCTCCTTTTCGTGCTCGTTTTCTAGCCAACCAAACAGACCTGTACCAGATGGTGACAAAAAATGGATCTAAGATAATGAAGTTGGAGATGGAGATGACTTCAAACGAGGCAAAAAATAATGGGGGTAGGACCAAAAGGGTCGGAGGAGTTGAGGAGGCAATGGAGATGGAGACGGAGGTAATTCCAGAAGGGGCAGAAAAATAGTTGGGGCAAGATTAAGAGAAAGATGCCGTTTTGGGTTTAGGACTCCGAAATTTTTTAAAGAATAAAGCTGATGCGCATTTTTTCATAAATATATTTCGTAATATATAAAATCAAAATATACATCAAATAGTGCCTTAAAATTTAAGGACAAGGTATGATCCGAAACAGATGTTGATATATTGAGTAGCATTCTCTGCTTCATCATAAATGCAAACATCATTTTTTTCGCTTTTTTAATTTATTCTGAAACGCCAGCATCGATTTAAGACGAAAGCATGTTGAGAGATACCTGGATATAACCTCACAAAAGTATCCCATATGCTTGGTTTCCTCCCATCTGCACTCGCCGCCCCTTCATACTGGATTATAAGAGAGGTTAATTAACAACGGGAAGGCAAAGCAACTGAATGTTTGACTGCTATTGATTTGGATTAACTAGAAGCAAATTAACAACCGTCCTATTACCTAACAAGAGTTTAGTTAAGTTGGTCTCAACTATAAAACATTAATTTGAGAATAAAGTTTTTTTTTTTTTTTAAATCAGCTGATTTAAGAATAAAGTTGAAGATTTAAAGCTCTCTAATATTAAACAAAGATAATTTTCAAATTGCACAAAAAGCAGAACAGTGGTTGCATTAAATGGCCTACCTGGTAAGCACTTGAGGCTGCTCCGAAGACAAAACCCTCAGGAAAGCTAGTCCGATTTAGCGCGGTTGATCCTTCAAAGTAAGCTAAAAATGAAATCAGTGCTACAAGGAAGAGGACGAAACGAAATTCCATTTTCATGTTTCTCCATTATGCTTTGCTGTCTATATAAATAGAGTAAGAAAACATGCACGTGGAAACGTACATATAAAAAAAAAAGAAAAAGAAAAAAAGAGAAGTATGCATGTCATGCGAGATACAGTTTGTTAGATAGATGTGAAATCATTGTGGTAGGTTTTGTTTTTTTGTTTTCGATGGGGAATCATTGTGGTAGTTGATGAATATGATGTGCTTTTTTCTCATATTGGACTGGTTGAGGAAATAAATATTTAGTCTAGCTGAACTGGTGGTTTTCCTTTTTGGCCAATGGCACCCGTAGATTAATCTGTGCTCTACCTCTCGGTAGATTTGTGCCCTCTTCCATTCGGTAGATTTGTGCCATCTACCTTTGTTGGATAAGGCACTGATATCTTGGAAATTGGAAATTGATAATTATTTACACCATAAATTATAAATTTATTTGATGATATTATATGTCATATTGTTTAAATGAATGTATATGATGATGTCATGCTTGATGTTACTCTGATCTGGATGGAGTGTGACCGTGTTGATGATGTCATGTATCCAACCAGATCTAATGTTTCTATAGTTATCTCCTATTTATTTGGTAGTATTTACCATTAGTGGTGATTATGGCTAAATTCTAAGAGAAGTTGCAAGCGCTTAACAGGTAGGTGAGGTGGCAAATAAGTGGAGAGTTTTGGAGCAAGTTTTGATCAGGTCTACTATTGACTTGTCTAACTATCCCATAAAGATTTGTCATGTTTTGCATAAATAAAAATGAATGGTTACCATCTTTCTTAAGACATAAAAAAAAACTAAATACGATCAACCTTACATATAATTTATCAAATTTAACTTTCTACACTACAAAAAAATTGGTTATTTGCCAACACTAAACATATTGAAAAATAAATAAAAAGCGTTGATAATACATTATTTTCTAGCGCTTAATATTAGAAATTGTTATCGTAAAAATACTGCTTAGAAAATATTTAGTTTTCAGTGCTATAGGGTATGCTGAAAAATAATTTACAATATTTTACAGTATAGTGCATTATAAAAAACACATACACGACATGGTGATAGCGTTTAATTATCTGCTATTAACTTCTTTTTTCTGAGGCAATGCGTTGGAAAATTGTCTCAGTTGTAACCGTTATAAGCGAAAAAACTTCAAATACTTTCCGCTTCCAATACTCTACACTGGCAAAAAAATTTAGTACTTATTTTCCAGCATAACACGCTGAAAAATAATATTAAGGATAATGCATTTGATCAAATCACTTTCCAGTACAATGTGCTGGAAAATAATCTCAACCTTAACCGTCATAAGCCCGAGAACCTCTAGTGGTCAATGCTGTGAAAAAAATTGACTTATTTTCTAGCATGTCCATTGGTAAGTGAGCTTGAGAATAAACTACGTGATCAACTCATTTTCAAGCGCAATACAATAAAAATTCACGTTCAAATGAAAAAAAAAAAAAATCAACTTACTCTTAGTTTCCAGCATAATACACTAGAAGCAAAGATTCAATTAACAAAAAAATATAATTTTCATTTTTTAAAACGTGATCATTTTCAATTAAAATAAATTTTAATTGTAATATATATATATACACACTACATAAATATCTTAAAAATAATAGGTTAAATATTTATTTTGGTCTCTCTATTATAAAAAAAAATCATTTTTTAGTCCCTATACTAAAAGAATTTTTTTTTTATTCTTAAAGTTTGAAATTTGATCATTTTTTAGTTTTTCTGTTAAGTTTTGACAATATTACATGTTAATTAACAAAAAATTTATTTATTTTTATTTAAATTACGTTAAAAAATCCTAAAAGTTGATAACATAACTAAATTTTTTTTGTCTAATATAATTTTAAAAATTATTTAATTACATAATTTTCATTATAAATATTTTAAAGATTATTTTGTAATTACTTATTCGCCCCATCTTCTTCCCCCTTCTGGAGCCTTCGTGCTGGGTTTGTCGCGAACCCAGGCATTGGGTTCGTTGCGCCTAGCTCCGGCCATCCATTTCATCTGGCTAGCATCAATAGGTAGGCCCAGCGCAACCTATTGATGGCTGGAGCATCTGATTCTCCAAAGAAGGTAAAAATCATCACCACCAAGCTTTTAAAAATTTTGAATTTTTTTTCTTTGTGATTTCAGAACTTCTCCAAAATTTCTCATTTGGGTTTTCTGTGAAAGGCGATGTTTTGATGTTTTCTCGTTAAGGTAACGATATGGGTTTTGCGTGATTTGGACTTTTATATAATGGGTCTTCTTTATTTTCTCAAGAATGACTTTTCTCCGAGAAAGTCCTATCACCCGGATCAACGCCATTCTTTCCATTACATTTGTGTCTTAATTTTCTTCTGAACAAAGGGTTGTCTCATAGGTATGGAGAGTGATGAAGAGATTCGGAGAATGCCGAAACTTGGTGGCGAAGCAGCTGAAGCCTCGGCAGCCAGTCGAGATGGCAGCTCAGTATCTGGTCCAGATCGGGTTCAGCCATCCGAGGTAGGTCAGAGGAAGAGGGGTCGGAGCCCGGCTAATAAGGAAAACAAGCGCCTGAAGAGGTAAGCTTTAATTTTTTTTTTTTTTTTTTTTGTGATTTTTGTTTGAGGTGGGGAGCAGTAGCATTTTTGTGTGATTTTTGTTTCAGCTGTGCTGTTTTGCGTGGAGTAAAGGTTGTTGAGGAAGTTTCAGCGCAGCAAGCAAGGGAGAGGAAAAAGGCTTACTTGAATGAGCTAGAGACCAGAGTTAAAGACTTGGAGAAAAAGAACTCTGAGCTTGAAGAGAGGCTTTCTACTTATCAAAACGAGAATGAGATGCTTAGACAAGTAATTTGTCTCTGGGAGGGTCAACCTATTGATGCTAGCCAGAAGAAATCGATGGCTGGAGCTAGGCGCAACGAACCCAGTGCCTGGGTTCGCGATGAACCCAATGTGAAGGCTCCAGAGGATAAGACAGAAGGGGGAAGAAGATGGGCAAATAAGTAATTACAAAATAATCTTTGAAATATTTATAACAGTAATTAATTACGTAATTAAATGATTTTTAAAGTTATATTTGTTAAAAATTTTGGCCAAATCACCAATTTTTACTAAATGAATTTTTTTGACGTTATTTAAGTACAAAAATAAATTTTTTTCATTAATTAACATCTTATATCAATCAAAACTTAATGGAGAGGCTAAAAATGAGTCGAATTTTAAAATTTAAGTATCAAAAAATAGATGTTTTAGTACAATGATTAAAAATAGGTTTTTTTTCGGAGTAGAGAAACCCAAAAAGGTATTTAACCAAAATGATATCATTTGAATAAATAAAAAAAACTTCACCTATAATAAATTAATTAAATCAATTTAACTTAATGAATATCACAGATATAAATATAATAATATTTGACAAATTTTACTTTATAAATTCAATTATATACAAAATTTTACATAATATATGTATTTTCTTAATTTTTTTAAATAAATTTAATTAAATACATAAATATACTTCAATGCCAAGTAATTCATAAAATTACAAAAGATATATACAAAATTAAATTAGTTATATACATGAGAATTTATAAAAACAGAATAAATGAAAATTACACTACTAATAAACTGAAATGAATAATATTTTTTATTTCAACATTATAAAAAAAATTTGTTGCTAGGAAAAATATGAATGAATTAGTGTAATATCCAAATGAATATTAGAAAACAATAATAAATGTAAATTAATAATACCTTTAATTAGAATGAAACATATAACTATATACCTAAAACAAAAAAAGAATGAATTAGTATACTTCTTAAGTGAATATTAATATAAATTAAAAAAATTTGAGGAGAGGAGAAAGAGGAAATGAAATGAAAATAAGTGAAAATTAAAAAATAATTATAAATGTAAATTAACAATACCTTTAATTGAAATGAATGAACATATAATTATACCTAAAATAAATAAATAAATAAAAAAAGAAAAGAAAGAATGAATTAGTACCTTTTTAAGTGAAAATTAGCAAATAGCAAAGAATTTGAGAAGAGGAGGATGAGGAAATGGAATGAATATGAGAAGGAATCTTGAAGAAAAGGAAAAGGAAATAGAGAGAGAACATGAAAAGAAAGTGGAATAAAAGAAGAAGGGAATGGAGAGAAACAGGAAGTAGAAGAATTAAAGGAGAAAATGAAGGTGCAGATAGAGAGGAAGTGTATTTATCTAAACATTGAATTATTTTCTAGCACAATGCGCTTGAAAATAACCTAAGTTTTGAAAATTA